TGAGACAGCTAGCATCCCAGAAGCAAGTCAAAATTTGGGTATGCAGACGTTAGGTAAGATAAGATAAGATTTCGTTCGGATTTTTAACCCCGGAGGGTTAGCCACCCAGGATAGCCCAAGAAAGTCATCGAGGACTGTCTAACTTATTTCCATTGGGGTCCTCAATCTTGTCCCCCAGGATGCGACCCACACCAGTCGACTAACACTCAGGTACCTATTTGCTGTTAGGTGAACAGGACAATAGGTGTAAGCCAGGAAACGTGTCGAAATGTTTCCACCCGCCGGGAATCGAACCCGGGCCCTCCGTGTGTGAGGCGGGAGCTTCAGCCACCAGGCCACCGGGCCACCCCAGGCCACCGGGCCATTTTTCTCGGACAGACACTGGTGGCAGCAACATAAGAACATAAGAACATAAGAACGAAGGAACACTGCAGAAGGCCTACTGGCCCATGCGAGGCAGGTCCAAGTCCCTACCGGCTTAAGCCAATGCACCCAACCTAGTCAGGTCAGGTCACATTGACTTAAGGGAGGAACACGGCAACCGACCTGTTAGCACAAGCTATCAGGTCCAACTCACACCCACCCACATCTACTCATGTATTTATCCAACCTATTTTTAAAGCTACACAACGTTCTGGCCTCTATAACGGTACTTGGGAGTTTGTTCCACTCATCCACAACTCTATTACCAAACCAGTACTTTCCTATATCCCTCCTGAATCTGAATTTTTTCCAACTTAAAACCATTGCTGCGAGTCCTGTCTAGGCTAGACATTTTCAGCACACTATTTACATCCCCTTTATTTATTCCTGTCTTCCACTTATAAACCTCAATCATATCCCCCCTAATTCTACGTCTTTCTAGAGAGTGCAGTTTCAGGGCCCTTAGTCTATCCTCATAGGGAAGGTTTCTGATACATGGGATCATCTTTGTCATCCTCCTTTGTACATTTTCCAGAGAATTTTATATCCATTCTGTAATACGGTGACCAAAACTGTGCAGCATAATCTAAATGAGGCCTAACCAAGGATGTATAGAGTTGAAGAACAACCTGAGGACTCCTATTATTTTATGCTTCTTGATATGAAGCCAAGGATTCTATTAGCTTTATTGCGAACACTTATGCACTGTTGTCTTGGTTTCAGATTACTGCTAACCAGAACTCCTAAATCTTTTTCGCAATCCGTAATATTAAGATCTACATTATTTAGTTTATATGTGGCATGGTTATTGTCCTGTCCAACATTTAGAACTTTGCATTTGTCTATATTAAACTGCATCTGCCACTTCTCCGACCACTGCATCAGTCTATTCAAATCCTCCTGGAGTGCTCGAATGTCCTCGTCAGAATGAATTCGACGGCCTATTTTGGTGTCATCGGCAAACTGCCGATGTCGCTCTTTATGCCCTCATCTATGTCGTTTATGTAGATTGTGAACAGCAGGGGGCCCAACACTGACCCCTGTGGAACACCGCTCGTGACGCTTCCCCACTCTGATTTCTCCCCATTTATGCAAACTCTCTGCTGCCTATTTGTCAACCATGCCTCTATCCAGGAAAAAATTTCTCCTCCTATTCCATGTGCTTTAATTTTCCTCAATAGTCTCTGATGTGGGACCCTGTCAAAAGCTTACTGAAGTCCATATACACAATATCATATTCATTACCATGATCTACCTCCTCAAATACCTTAGTGAAAAAAGTTAATAAATTCGTAAGGCAGGAACGCCCCTTTGTAAAACCATGCTGAGATTCGTTGATTAATTTATGCTTTTCAAGGTGGCTACGAACTGCCTCGGCAATTATTGATTCCATAAATTTTCCCACTATGGAGGTTAGGCTTATTGGTCTATAGTTCGAAGCTAAGGACCTGTCACTGTTTTGAAAATAGGTATCACATTTGCCATTTTCCACTTATCTGGCACCATGCCAGTTTGTAGTGATATGTTGAAAAGATTAGCCAAAGGTGTGCTAAGCTCCTCTTTACATTCCTTTAGAACCCTTGCATACAGTTCATCAGGGCCTGGGGATTTGTTAGGTTTTAATTTATCTATTTGCCTAAGGACCATGTCACTTGTGACCCTAATAGTGCACAGTTTATTATCGTCCTGTTCTACATAATTTATCATTACTGGAATATCGCTGGTATCCTCCTGTGTAAAAACTAGGATCTACAGCTCACAGCCACGTGTCTTCAAAATACCTGCCGATAGCACTAACATCTCATATCATAAAAATCTTTGAAAGGGTCCTTAGAAGCAAGATCACCACCCATCTAGAAACCCATCAATTACACAACCCAGGGCAACATGGGTTTAGAACAGGTCGCTCCTGTCTGTCTCAACTATTGGATCACTACGACAAGGTCCTAGATGCAATAGAAGACAAAAAGAATGCAGATGTAATATATACAGACTTTGCAAAAGAGTTCGACAAGTGTGACCATGGCGTAATAGCGCACAAAATGCGTGCTAAAGGAATAACGGGAAAAGTCGGTCGATGGATCTATAATTTCCTCACTAACAGAACACAGAGAGTAGTAGTCAACAGAGTAAAGTCCGAGGCAGCTACGGTGAAAAGCTCTGTTCCACAAGGCAGAGTACTTGCTCCCATCTTGTTCCTCATCCTCATATTTGACATAGACAAGGATGTCAGCCACAGCACTGTGTCTTCCTTTGCAGATGACACCCGAATCTGCATAACAGTGTCTTCCATTGCAGACACTGCAAGGCTCCAGGCGGACATCAACCAAATCTTTCAGTGGGCTGCAGAAAACAATATGAAGTTCAACGATGAGAAAATTCAATTACTCAGATATGGCAAACACGAGGAAATTAAATCTTCATCAGAGTACAAAACAAATTCTGGCCACAAAATAGAGCGAAACACCAACGTCAAAGACCTGGGAGTGATCATGTCAGAGGATCTCACCTTCAAGGACCATAACATTGTATCAATCGCATCTGCTAGAAAAATGACAGGATGGATAATGAGAACCTTCAAAACTAGGGATGCCAAGCCCATGATGACACTCTTCAGGTCACTTGTTCTATCTAGGCTGGAATATTGCTGCACACTAACAGCACCTTTCAAGGCAGGTGAAATTGCTGACCTAGAAAATGTACAGAGAACCTTCACGGCGCGCATAACGGAGATAAAACACCTCAATTACTGGGAGCGCTTGAGGTTCCTGAACCTGTATTCCCTGGAACGCAGGCGGGAGAGATACATGATTATATGCACCTGGAAAATCCTAGAGGGACTAGTACCGAACTTGCACACGAAAATCACTCACTACGAAAGCAAAAGACTTGGCAGACGATGCAACATCCCCCCCAATGAAAAGCAGGGGTGTCACTAGCACGTTAAGAGACCATACAATAAGTGTCAGGGGCCCGAGACTGTTCAACTGCCTCCCAGCATACATAAGGGGGATTACCAACAGACCCCTGGCAGTCTTCAAGCTGGCACTGGACAAGCACCTAAAGTTGGTTCCTGACCAGCCGGGCTGTGGCTCGTACGTTGGTTTGCGTGCAGCCAACAGTAACAGCCTGGTTGATCAGGCTCTGATCCACCAGGCGGCCTGGTCACAGACCGGGCCGCGGGGGCGTTGACCCCCGGAACTCTCTCCAGGTAAACTCCAGGGGACCAAAGGATCGTTGATGCTTCCTGAAATGCTGTAGATATTTGTCCCTTCCCAGGTCCCCTTGGTAAGATAATTCTTAGCATTTTTCTCAGTCTTAGTTGGCCAACAATATTCAGGGAAACGTCGGGAATTTGAGCTTAAGGTTACAACACGGACGATCTCCCAACAATCAGGTGATTTGTGGCTAAGATTGTTGAACAATTGTCCCTTGAATATAGTCCAGAAGCTAATAGCTCCTCACATATATTAGTCAGGGAAACCTCCAACAATTACAGGCTTTACCTAAGTTGTTGGAGTTCACAATACATCAGAATACTTGTAGAAATAAGTCCTTCACTGCACTTGGTGTAATAGAGAGAAAGACCAGATAAATCTAAATTGCATGGGTAGAATCGGATTTCTAGTTAGTATAGTCTCCACAACCAAGTAAGTTTGTCTAGTTTTTATTATTATATTTTCCTGGGCTTCAGGAAGCAGGGCTCAATAAAACATAAGTTTTAGTGACACTAATAACACCAAGAAGACACAACATCAAGAAGTACAGAAGGTCTGGAACTTTTGCGTCAGCCTTCAGGTAATATCTACTACATTATTTTGTATCGCATAAAGAAATAAAAAAAAAAGGTGGCCTGGTGGCTAAAGCTCCCGCTTCACACACGGAGGGCCCGGGTTCGATTCCCGGCGGGTGGAAACATTTCGACACATTTCCTTACACCTGTTGTCCTGTTCACCTAGCAGCAAATAGGTACCTGGGTGTTAGTCGACTGGTGTGGGTCGCATCCTGGGGGACAAGATTAAGGACCCCAATGGAAATAAGTTAGACAGTCCTCGATGACGCACTGACTTTCTTGGGTTATCCTGGGTGGCTAACCCTCCGGGGTTAAAAATCCGAACAAAATCTTATCTTATCTTATCTTATCTCTTATGGAGAAGCTGGGTTCGAAACTGTGTAAGTTGTCAGTGGCCCTTACAAACCCAACAAAAAGAAAGTTTGTATAGAAATACAAGTAACATTAAAATGGAGTATGGACGTTTCTTTGTCGCCTGAGTATCGGTGACAAATTTCTCCTGTTCTCATTGGACACTTGTTCTCATGTGCTTTGCTCTCCGGGAACATTACAGGAGGGTCATGCCTCATCGGATTAATTTTAACGAGCTCCATATTTCCGTTCTGCAGATAGTTTTTTTAACGGTTTCGAAGGGAAGCCGGTTAACTGAACTTAAGTGCGGGTGTGGGCGTCTTGCTCTGCTTGTGCTTGGTGAAGGGGCGTCCACCTGGTTATTTGAGAACTTCTAGTTTTTATTCCTGTTTACAAAAGAGATCCTGTTCCATAACTTTAGCAAACATCTACTACATTATTTCATGTCGCATAAAAATAAAAAATAAAATTTATATTTGTACATCGAGATGCTGGGTTCAATACTGAGTAAGCTGTCAGTGGCTCTTAGAAACCCAACAGCAAGAAGATCTGCATAGAAATATAAATAACATTAAATGTCAAAGTGCAGTAAGTTTATTTAGGTACAGGTACACATAAGTACAATTATCATACATATGTGTGTAAATTACCCACCAGAATAACCCCATGCATCTCACTGTTAATATCTGAAATCTTGACTGTGCCTAACAATGTTTTATTACATGTAAATTACATTATCCTTGTACAGCATAAAAAAGAAATTAAAAATTTATCGTTTTAGTGGTGATAAGATACCAATATGGTTTTGAGATTGTACCTCTATACTGTATTGTGTTTACTAGCTATATGAAGAAATTGTAATGTATGAAATGACTAATATATTGTTATGTGATTATGTTTGCTGAGATCTCATAAAGACCTATTGTGACCTTGTAGCAGCGCTGTATAGCCCTTGTGGCTTAGCGCTTCTTTTTGATTATAATAATAATGTGACCTTGTAATCTCTTTTTTTTGTGCATTAATTCACAGGATGAGCATGGAGTGCACAATAAGCTAGCCACTCAGGTGGCACTACTGACAAATATTTAATTCAAAATTAATGTACCAGACTCCTCATACTCTTAAAGCCAATAAGATTATATAGCATTTCAAGTAACAACTTGTGTCTGAAAAATATCTCTCCAGGTTAACCATAAATGATTTTATAGACAGTACTACATATTTATATAATTATTATAATAAACGTGTAATTGTTTCAGGCATAAATCTGTGGTTCATTTAAGGCTAAGATTTATGAGTACTACTTACTTGGCAGAACTTGGACATTAATTTGCATTCTATGGTGAAAGTATGTGACTGCCACTTGGCGGATTTCAGCCATTAATTATAGTTTCAATTATACAGCATTAACTTTATTTTACAGTTGAGATAATTATTATTTTATGCAAATGGTAAAAACCATAATCTAACTTAATAAAATCCTCCTAACCCAACCTAAAGTAATGTGACAGCTTTACTCCACCATTGGTACTGGCCCATCTTTGTTTATATTCAGCTGAGCCAGTATTTATAACTGTAATCTATGACTTGTAATTCATAGCACAATTTACCAACACTTTTTTTTTCCATAGGAACTGAGAAACAGTGTGCTGTGAAGATCCATTTGGAGGTTTTTAGTACATACCTCATCCATCTCTAGTAGAGTAATATCTAATAAGACTTTACAAGTGCTTTAAATCATGGAAGCAAATGCAGTTTTTGAAACTGAAGATCAAATCAAATTGATAATAGCCTGTGGCCAAGGACATATATGGAATGTTGAAGATGTAAAAATGGCATGGACCAAATATAGAATTATTGGTTGTCTTGTTGGATCTTTGCCAAGGAACCCTCACCAATCTTCTATGATGGGCCTTCCTCTGAAACTTATGCCAGAGGAAGTTACTTTATTACTGGAGAAAAGGTTTGCAAAGCCTGTTACATACCCAGAAATGACTGAAGAACCATCCAGTATAATAAAGAATACATTTAAACAGCATAGACAAAAGTGTTATCAGGAACAAATTATGGCAGCTCTTCAACAACGTAAACATGAAATTGAAAACATTGCAGATACAATTCTTGAAGGAAAACGCAAGAAATTTGAACTGAGGAAAAAAAATAAACAAGGATCTGCACAAAATTATAATTTTTTACTCACAAAAGAAAAAGTTATTGAGGAAGAAATTCGAAAAATCCAGACATTACCAGAGCATTTACAAGTTATAGAGGTGTTTGCTGAAAGTCCTATGGTAGGCATGTTGAAATCTGAAGTGGCAAAGTGGTCATTTCCCACAAATAATATGGAAAAGCTGAGATATGCAGTGTTCAAAGACCTTTGGGAACAGAATTATTATCTAACAACAGGGGTCAAATTTGGGGGTGATTTTCTAGTGTACCCAGGAGACCCTCACTTGTTTCATGCAACATTTATTGTCAAGTGTGTAATGGACGTGCAGTGTGTGGATCAGTGTGATCTAGTGTCTTGGTCTCGTATTGGTACTGCTACCAAGAAAACCCTTGTCTTAGCTACTTTTGATCAATCTGAGCAAGTGTCTTATAAGTCTTATCAGTGGGTAGAGAATGAAGCTAATTGATAGATAAATTTACTAGTAGTAATACCTTACAGTATATACAGTACATAGTCTATTTAGTCAAGTTGAAGGTCATTTTTTTAAATTTATATTTGGAAATGTTTGTTAAGTTTCCTAAAAGCATTTTTGAAACAAATAAATTGTCATAAGACCCCATGCAGTATATTGTGCAAGTCAGCACCTATTTGCATTAAATGTTTTGTAAAAAAAATGATTTTAGATTAAAAGCAAAATAATTAAAGGAATTTTTAGTTTTATCAGAAAGGTATAACCTTCAAGGCCACACACCTTCACCCACACCATTCCAACCAGCAACTTCCACCCACACAACTCTTCCCATGGCCACACCTTCACCCACAGAATTCCAACTAGTAACCTCCACCCACACAACTCCCACATGGCCATACCCCTTCACCCACACCATTATAACCAGTAACCTTTTCCCACACAACTTCCACACATCTTCACCCACACCATACTAACCAACCACCTACCTCTACATGACCCACCCACCCAATTCCCTCTGTGGCACATGCCTGCACCTACACCATTTCCCCCACCATCAACACCAGGCCGCCGACATGGCCACCTACACAGTCACCATCACACTGCCTCATTGCTTCCCAACTCAACCTGATCAATTGGCCTGGTCGAGGACTGGGCTGTGGGGGCGTTGACCCTCAAAACGGTCTCTAAGTGGGTAGACATCCATCCACTGCCCAGCATTTTTCACTTCCCAACACCAGCTTCCAGCTCCTGCCCCCACCCCACCACCAGTTTTCACCTTCCACTACAACAGTCCCTCAATCCCTCACCCCTACACTGAACCCACTCACTTCAACCACTGTAACCCCTCAGTGTACACCCCAACCATTCTAGCCCCTCCTTTATAAAGAATATAAAGGCACAATACTATGACTGGAACAATACACAAATAACTCGTATAGGAGAATGAAACTTGTGATGACATTTTAGTCTGATGTGTGACTAGTTATTGGACCAAGCTGGATGAAAAATCATTGTAAGTGCACCCTCCTTTACAACTCCCATACAGTTGCAACTAGTAGGACAACCAAATACAGTAATAAAATTGCCCTGTCTGCTAGCAGAGATGTGGTGGCAGGATCTTTAATGCACATCACCACATCAACTTCCAATTATATTATTATCATTGTTTTTACAATTTTGAGATCTATAAAAAATTTGGTTAACCGTTTTGGGGGTATAATGAATATAATTTATTTTCCCATATGTTCCTCAGTTTAAACTACTACTTTTATACACGCTGTTTTCAGAATTAACTACTGTGTTATCCGACAGTCTACTGTATTTTCCACTATAAATAAGGAATTTCACTAATCCTCTCTAGGTACTGAATGAGTGGGTCTATTTTCTATTTTTTTTAATTCTGTGGGGTTAATGCTTATATCAGTTACATGATCTTTATGGCCTTCAGAGGTTATGAAAAAAATCTGCATTCTCCATCCTGCTTTTGTTTAGTAGCCTGCTGAACATTGATTCATATTGGTCTTTAGAATTTCGCTTATTTCTTTTTCATTGTATGAACTTCCTGTAATTAATGATACCAAAGTGGAACTTCTCCTTTCTTAACATGTTGGACCATGTTTGAAAATTGCATATGAAAATGTATATGAAAATGTATATGAAAATGTATATGAAAAATGTATATGAAAGCACTAAACTCTGTGGGTTTAGTGCTTTCACATACATAAGCAATTTACTTTGTGGTTTCTTCTGATCCCCTCAAGGGGGAGTCCCTTGATGCTAGTGAGCAAAGGGCTCTTGATCCAAGTAACTAGACATCCTTCCCTGCCTTGTGGCTCAGTTGGCAGTGGCTTCAGCTGGCATATTTAGGAACTGGGGTTCAATCCCTGGTACAAGTGGAAATAGGCATGTTTCCTTGCACCTACTTACCTAGCAGTAAGTAGGTACCTTGGCAGTGGCTGGCTGTTGTGGGTTACATTCTGTGGAAGAACATAAAAATACCCTAGTGGAAATAACAGACCATTCTCAGTGACTTCCTGACTTTACTGAATTATCCTGGATTAATAATCCCAACAAAATATTCCCATAAACCAGGTGCTATGTAACCCCAACTGGTTTAGCTCTTCTCCCTGGTTTTAAAATTATTTTCCCAATGATTGCAAGAAATGTACTGTTACGTTAGATTAGGTAAGGTTTGTTAGGAAACAAGACAAGTGTTTCCTGATAATATTAATAATAACAATAATAAAAATATCTTTATTTACAAGTACATGTAATCCTATGGGTTTAGCGCTCCCTCATAATTATAATTATAATTACAAGTACATGTGCAAGGTATACAGGCCTAGCAGACATCAGTGACATACTACTATATAGAAAGCCACTTGTTATACAGAGCATTTCGGGCAAATTAAGTCAGTTTTGTCCCAGGATGCGACCCACACCAGTCGACTAACTCCCAGGTACCCATTTTACTGATGGGTGAATATAGACAACCGGTGTGAAGAAACACACCCAATATTTCTACCCTCTCTGGGAATCGAACCCAGACCCTTGCCATGTGAAGCAAGAGCTTTAGTCACCAGGTCATACGAAGACCAGCAGCTGGAGCTTTTGGTCATCTGACTGAGGCCTTCCACTGGCTTACCCCTCCACCCCTTTAAAAATTATGGTTATGATTATAAAGAATACTTCTTAGATGTACTGTAATGTGTGTATAATAGTTCAAAGTAAAGAGTGCAGGACAATAATACTGAAAGACTTCCTGTTGGATAAACACAGACTGGGTAAGTCCGGGTAAAATAAGTTGCTTCATATCCTAGTTTACAGGGTTTCAATATGCTTGTGGTAGTTTTATTGTATTTTCCTGCTCTTTTGGGTGGCCAGGAGGACATGTTTAATCCAAATACAATAATAATAATTTATTTCAGTTCATTATACATGAAAACAAATAGAAAGGGACTTATTTCTATTGGGGTTCTTAAGAGGACTGAGGACGCTACCACATCATACTAAGCAAAATATAGCAAATAAAATGTATATTAATTTCACTTGTATTCGTATTTTGCTACTATTGTACAATTCCTGCTGGTGGTGCACAGTTACCTGGAGTTTACCTGGAGAGAGTTCCGGTGGTCAACGCCTCTGCAGCCCAGTCTGTGACCAGGCCTCATGGTGGATCAGAGCCTGATCAACCAGGTTGTTACTGCTGGCTGCACGCAATCCAACGTACGAGCCACAGCCCGGGTGGTCAGGTACATTAGCAATACAATAGCAATACAAATCTCACTCTTCCCACAGCTCATCCCTACAAGTGACCCCTAGCTCAGTAGTCAACTCTCAGCTCGTTACACATTCAAATTCAATTCAAATTCAAAGTTTATTCTCTATAAGGATTACAATGCTGAGTTTACAGAATTTGGTTATTGTGTGGTTTACATGTAGTAAAATAATGATTACAGAGTGTACCACTAGAACACCTAGCATGGCTAGGCATTTCGGGCAGACTTAGTTTAATTCTTAATTTTAAAATATTACAAATTATGAGGTAAGTTGGTATTATGGCTAAGTGACTAAATACTAGTTTGTGAATGCTTTTGTTTTGGCACAGTACATAGTTTCAGTATTGGAGTATCACAGGATTCATTATTTTAAGATTGAGATTAATATTTCTGTTTATGCTCAAATGGGTGAGTGAGTGTAAGTGTGGACCACCAGGTGGTATTCGTGTAGTTAGTTGACGGGGTGTATCAGGGAGATAAGATGTTTTCTAATGGTAGTTTTGAAGGTGATGAATGTGTCTGCAGTTTTAGAGTTCTCAGGTAGGGTGTTCCAGATTTTAGGGCCTTTGACATACATTGAATTTTTGTAAAGGTTTAGTCGGACACGGGGAATGTCGTAGAGATGTTTGTGTCTGGTGTTATGCTGTGGGTTCTGTCACAACTATCAAGAAAGCGTTTTAGGTCAAGGTTGATATTGGAGTTTAAGGTCCTGTAGATGTAGATTGCACAGTAGTAAGTGTGGATGTACTGAACAGGGAGTAAGTTTAGATCTATGAAGAGTGGGGGGTGTGTTGCCAGGGATGGGATTTAGTGATTATTCTTACTGCAGCTTTTTGTTGGGTTATTATTGGCTTTAGGTGTGTTGCTGCAGTTGATCCCCAAGCACAAATAGCATAGGTGAGGTATGGATAAATAAGTGAGTGGTATAGTGTGAGAAGGGCATTTTGCGGCACGTAGTATCGTATCTTGGAGAGGATCCCAACCATTTTGGATACTTTTTTGGTTATGTGTTTACCTGGAGTTTACCTGGAGAGAGTTCCGGGGGTCAACGCCCCCGCGGCCCGGTCTGAGACCAGGCCTCCTGGTGGATCAGAGCCTGATCAACCAGGCTGTTGCTGCTGGCTGCACGCAAACCAACATACGAGCCACAGCCCGGCTGATCCGGAGCTGACTTTAGGTGCTTGTCCAGTGCCAGCTTGAAGACTGCCAGGGGTCTGTTGGTAATCCCCCTTATGTGTGCTGGGAGGCAGTTGAACAGTCTCGGGCCCCTGACACTTATTGTATGGTCTCTTAACGTGCTAGTGACACCCCTGCTTTTCATTGGGGGGATGGTGCATCGTCTGCCAAGTCTTTTGCTTTCGTAATGAGTGATTTTCGTGTGCAAGTTCGGTACTAGTCCCTCTAGGATTTTCCAGGTGTATATAATCATGTATCTCTCCCTCCTGCGTTCCAGGGAATACAGGTTTAGGAACCTCAAGCGCTCCCAATAATTGAGGTGTTTTATCTCCGTTATGCGCGCCGTGAAAGTTCTCTGTACATTTTCTAGGTCGGCAAATTTCACCTGCCTTGAAAGGTGCTGTTAGTGTGCAGCAATATTCCAGCCTAGATAGAACAAGTGACCTGAAGAGTGTCATCATGGGCTTGGCCTCCCTAGTTTTGAAGGTTCTCATTATCCATCCTGTCATTTTTCTAGCAGATGCGATTGATACAATGTTATGGTCCTTGAAGGTGAGATCCTCCGACATGATCACTCCCAGGTCTTTGACGTTGGTGTTTCGCTCTATTTTGTGGCCAGAATTTGTTTTGTACTCTGATGAAGATTTAATTTCCTCATGTTTACCATATCTGAGTAATTGAAATTTCTCATCGTTGACTTCATATTGTTTTCTGCAGCCCACTGAAAGATTTGGTTGATGTCTGCCTGGAGCTTTGCAGTGTCTGCAATGGAAGACACTGTCATGCAGATTCGGGTGTCATCTGCAAAGGAAGACACGGTGCTGTGGCTGACATCCTTGTCTATGTCGGATATAAGGATGAGGAACAAGATGGGAGCGAGTACTGTGCCTTGTGGAACAGAGCTTTTCACCGTAGCTGCCTCGGACTTTACTCTGTTGACGACTACTCTCTGTGTTCTGTTAGTGAGGAAATTATAGATCCATCGACTGACTTTTCCTGTTATTCCTTTAGCACGCATTTGTGCGCTATTACGCCATGGTCACACTTGTCGAAGGCTTTTGCAAAGTCTGTATATATTACATCTGCATTCTTTTTGTCTTCTAGTGCATTTAGGACCTTGTCGTAGTGGTCCAATAGTTGAGACAGACAGGAGCGACCTGTTCTAAACCCATGTTGCCCTGGGTTGTGTAACTGATGGGTTTCTAGATGCGTGGTGATCTTGCTTCTTAGGACCCTTTCAAAGATTTTTATGATATGGGATGTTAGTGCTATTGGTCTGTAGTTCTTTGCTGTTGCTTTACTGCCCCCTTTGTGGAGTGGGGCTATGTCTGTTGGATATGGGTGCTGAAATTCAGGTTGTTGTGTCAGTTGACTTGTGGGCTACATTGTGTCAGTTGACTGTTGTGGGTTACATTGTGTCATTTGACTGTTGTGGGTTACATTGTCATTTGACTGTTGAGGGTTACATTGTGTCAGTTGACTGTTGTGGGCTACAGTGTCAGTTGACTGTTTTGGGTTACAGTGTCATTTGACTTGTGGGTTACAGTGTCAGTTGGCTGTTGTAGGTTACATTGTGTCAGTTGACTGTTGTGGGTTACAGTGTCATTTGACTGTTGTGGGTTACATTGTGTCAGTTGGCTGTTGTGGGTTACAGTGTCAGTTGACTGTTGTGGGTTACGGTGTCAGTAGACAATTGTGGGTTACAGTGTCAGTTGACTGTTGTGGGTTACAGTGTCATTTGACTGTTGTGGGTTACATTGTGTCAGTTGACTGTTGTGGGTTACACTGTGTCAGTTGACTATTGTGGGTTACAGTGTCAGTTGACTGTTGTGGGTTACAGTGTCAGTTGACTTGTGGGTTACAGTGTCAGTTGACTGTTGTGGGTTACAGTGTCAGTTGACTGTTGTGGGTTACAGTGTCAGTTGACTTGTGGGTTACAGTGTCAGTTGACTGTTGTTTGTTACAGTCAGGGAAAAAAATTAATTGCCAATGTAAAAAACATAAAAGTTTAGTGTGAAGGTTTATTATTCACCTCATACATGATGATAGACTTGTTGGATGTACGTACTAAGTGTTTGGGAATATTAATTATTGTAAGTTTACTAAGGCATAGGCACGCATAAGTACAATTATTATACAGAGTGACATATTCTATATGGGTAAATAGTATCAGCATAATGACACGTTTCTAAGGATCAGATAAGAGGATAAATACAATGGAATGTCCCTAAATGAAGGAAAAGTTTGTAAGAGAGAGAGAGAGAGAGAGAGAGAGACTAACATATTTCAAGGCACTAGATTTTCTTGGAAAATATTATCTACGTCATGATTTTCTACGTCATTATTCCTAATTTTTGCGTTTATTGGCTTGCTACTTGGAAGGTCAAATCTTCATGTGATATACTCCATTAATCATAATATTCTGGTCTTTTATTTTATTTAATACAATGCGTAATATGAAGTGTAGTTGTGAAAAGAAAGTCTTTGTTAAATAGTAGGAAAAGTACAGCAGAGTTGTGGAGTTAAAGTGAGGCACTGTAAGTGTTCGCTTGTGGTATCATATAAGAGCCATCCTGCAGCTGGTAAGACGTTTCTCCCTCTCTCATCCGCTAGATAACACCTCAACCACACACACCTGCTTCATACGTATTAATTTTATCTCCAGAGCGAGTCAAAAATAGGTAATAAAGGTGATGTAGTGAGTGTGTGCTGGGAGCAGTCTTGGGTAAGATCTCTCGGAGGCTTCCCAATACCTCTTATTTATAGCTCGGTTTTTCTCAGCTGTTCATAATACATTCTCAGGGGAGTCTAGGTCATAGACATGCAGATTTTTCTGTATGGAAGAAATGTTAGCTAATTTCTTGTGCATATTCGTTGAGGTGTAAGTGAATTGGAAAATAAGTTCACACGTCTGTCATACTCGCCGAATTGTGCTCCCCTGGTAGTGTTTGTGGGGGTTGAGGCTCAGCTCTTGGCCCCGTCTTCTATTAATGAAGCTGGAATGACTGAACAGCCTCTCTTATAGTTAACGGCTGTATTATAGTTAACAGCTTCATTTTAGTTAACTTTCATTATAGTTAACTGCTTCATTATATTTAGCTGTTTCATTATAGTTAATTGCTTAATTATAGTTAACTGCTTCATTATAGTTAACTGCTTCATTATAGTTAACTGCTTCATTATAGTTAACTTCTTCATTATAATTAACTGTTTCATTATAGTTAATTGCTTAATTATAGTTGACTGCTTCATTATAGTTAACTGCTTCACTCTAGTTAACTGCTTCATTATAGTTAACTGCTTCACTCTAGTTAACTGCTTCATTATAGTTAACTGCTTCATTATAGTTAACTGCTGCTTTATAGTTAACTGCTTATTATAGTTAAACTGCTGTTTTATAGCTAACTGCTTCATTATAGTTAGCTGCTTCATTATGTTTAATTTATATATTTAATAATTTCATTAAAATATTTGTTCAGATTTTTAACCCGGAAGGTTAAAAATTATAATTGACGTAATGGAAATAAGTCACTTGACTATTGGGTTATCCTGGTGGGTAGTTTACACACGTCACTATGTATGATAATTGTACTTATGTATACCTGTACCTAAATAAACTTACTTAACCCACAACACTATAATTGTTACAAAAAAATAACCCGCACATAAAAGAGAGAAGCTTACGACGACGTTTCGGTCCGACTTGGACCATTGACAAAGTCCAAGTCGGACCGAAACGTCGTCGTAAGCTTCTCTCTTTTATGTGCGGGTTATTTGTGTATCGTTCCAGTCACGGTATTGTGCCTTTTTTGTTATTTATAACTGTTATATTATAACCCCATTATTAACAGCTTCATTATACCTAACAGCCTTGTTATTGTTAACAGATTCACAGCTAACAGCCTCATTATAGATAGCAGGCAGATTATATATGGTACTTTGTAACTGAAGGTGGAAGGATTGCAAAATTTAGTAAACTGCCTCATTATAGTTTAAGAGCATTGCTATAATTAAAAGCCTTGTTGTAGTTAACAACCTTGCTATAGTTAACAACCTTGTTATAGTTAACAACCTTGTTATAGTTAATAGCCTTGTTTTAGTTAACAGGCTCAATATAATTAAAAGCCTTACAGTTAACAACTTTGTTATAGTTAATAACCTCCCTTTTAGTTAACAGGCTTGATATAATTAAAAACCTTGATAACAGCCTTGTTATAATTACAAGCTCATTACAGTTAATAGGTGCAATGTTATTAAAAGCCTTGTTAACAGTCTCATTATAGCAACTGATAGAACAAAAATAACTTCGTAAGTGGAGTACTGTATACAACTTGGAGTAATTGATGTGTATAAACTATAGAAGCCCCATGTTCTGCAGAGGCAGTGAAACAGATACAGTACAGTTTACTAGAATGCTATAATTTGCAGTCTTGTTAGGCTTAACAGTTTCTTTGTTAATAATCACACCCCTCAAGGAAGGTTCCTTGATGTTGGTGAGGGGCTCTTGATTTAGGGAATTGGATCTGTGCTCCAGTTCCCTGAATTAAGCCTGAATGCCTTCCACATCCCCCCCCCAGGCGCTGTATAATCCTCCGGGTTTAGCGCTTCCCCCTTGATTATAATAATAATGCTAACAATCACAGTATATGCCAGAAGCCTCATTATTATGGCTCAAGTGATAACACTTGGCTCTTACCTGAAGGACCTGGGCTCAATCCCGGCAAAGATCTGAGCTACCCCAGCGTACTAGGGAAATAAGCCAGACTGACTTATTGGATTCTGGGTTATAAGCCCTCCAGGTTAATAATCCAGATGTAATTTCCTTTCTGCATGCTGATACCTGGAGTTTACCTGGAGAGGGTTCCAGGGGTCAGTGCCCCCATGGCCCTGTCTGTGGCCAGGCCTCATGGTGGATCAAGGCCTGATCAACCAGGCTGTTACTGATGGCCACACACAAACCAGCGTACAAACTGCAGCCCAGCTGGTCAGGTACAGACTTTAGGTGCATACATTATAGGGGAAAATTTTTTTGCCAGTAGGGAGATGTTAAAAACCTAAATTTAGTTCATTCAGCTCACACATTGAGTGTCTGGGTGTCCCGTGGCCTGGTAAGCAATGCTCCTGCCTTGTACACACGGTATCCATGTTTAATCCCTAGCCAGGATAGAAACATTGGGCATGTTACCTTATACCTACTGTCCTTGTTCACCTAGCAGCAAGTAGGTACCTGGGTGTCAGCCGACTGGTGTGGGTCGCGTCCTGGGGGACAAGATTAACCTAAGTTGGCCGAAATGCTCTTCATAACCAGGGGCTTTCTATATAGTATGTCTTTGATGTCAACTAGGTCTGTTTAAGTTGTACATGTTTTTATAGAAATAAAGAATATTATTATTATTATTATTATTATTATTATTATTATTATTATTATTATTATTGCAAAACCTGAGACATGTTTTACATGTAGCATATTCTCTTTTGCATGTTGTGTAATTGGTAATGCTTGATGAAAATTGTGTGTTGAACTATTATGAATGAGGTGTACTGTATGGCACATTATCATGTTTAAAATGTTCACTGTTGCATGTTATGTATGTTTTGTCATATACTATAACTAAGTCTGAAAATTATGTGGCACTGGATGTATGTATATGAGTTTCAAAAAAAAGGTGTCTGTTTTAAATTTACAGCTTACAGAAATTATACTTCTTTACTTTAAAATATATTAATGCAAAGCACAGCCAAACATTTCTTCATGTGTAGTAATTTTTTTTTTATTTTTTACGTAACTGTCACTACTTCACTCGCAGTATATTACAATATATATATACAGTGGACCCCCGGTTAACGATATTTTTTCATTCCAGAAGTATGTTCAGGTGCCAGTACTGACCGAATTTGTTCCCATAAGGAATAGTATTGTGAAGCAGATTAGTCCATTTCAGACCCCCAAACATACACGTACAAATGCACTTACATAAATACACTTACATAATTGGTCGCATTGGGAGGTGATCGTTAAGCGGGGGTCCACTGTACAGTGGACCCCCAGTTTTCATCCAGTCTGGATATTGTACAATTCGGATTTTGACCACTTTTTTTTGGCAAATTTTTATCCTGGGTTTCGTACCTCTGCTTGGAAACGTGGCCCCGCTCACACGTACGTGACTCAGTCTGCCTTTGTTACTCGTAGAGGGTGGTAGTGATGGTGGTAGAGGGTGGTAGTGGTTGTGATGGTAGTTGAGGGTGGTAGTGATAGTGGTAGAGGGTGGTAGTGATGGTGGTAGAGATAACCTCTCCTCCTTCGCTCCTCATTGTCTTCCATATGCCAACAAGAGTCTTCAGTAAAGGTAAAAGGGATTTAAATGTTCATTTATCCATTTCATTAGTGCTTTATATTTATTTCTCATTGTTTTCTGTATGTAAAACTATAGTTATTCTCTATAAAATGTAATTTTGTTATTATTTTTGGGTGTCTGGAACGGATTAATTGGAGTTACATTATTTCTTATGGGAATTATTACTAAGGTTTTCATCCATTTTGGATTTTGACCGACCTGAAATGGATTAAGGATGAAAACCAGGGGTGTCACTAGCACGTTAAGAGACCATACAATAAGTGTCAGGGGCCCGAGACTGTTCAACTGCCTCCCAGCACACATAAGGGGGATTACCAACAGACCCCTGGCAGTCTTCAAGCTGGCACTGGACAAGCACCTAAAGTCAGTTCCTGATCAGCCGGGCTGTGGCTCGTACGTTGGTTTGCGTGCAGCCAGCAGCAACAGCCTGGTTGATCAGGCTCTGATCCACCAGGAGGCCTGGTCACAGACTGGGCCGCGGGGGCGTTGACCCCCGGAACTCTCTCCAGGTAAACTCCAGGTAAACAGTGGACCCCCGGTATTCGATATTAATCCGTTCCTGAGAGCTCATCGAATACCGATAATATCGAAAACCAAATCAATTTTCCTCATAAGAAATAATGGAAATCAATTAACCGTGAAAGACCCCCAAAAGTATAAAAAAAAAAATTTTTTAAACATAAAATTATTAAGTTAAATGAAATAAAATAATTACAAAAAACTTTTTAAAAAAATTTGACATTTACCTTTAATAAAGTTTGGTGATGTTTGAGGGGAATGGGGGAGGGGAGAGGTGTTGTTTTTAAAAGGGGGGAAACCCCTTATTGGGATTGGGGTAGCAAGCCCTTTTTTGGGGGTTACTTCCCCCCTTTTTTTTTAATCCCACTAGACCGCTGAGAGCACTGGCCTTGTCCCCCAAAAATCCTCCATGGGGTCTGTACCCCTTTCCTTACTTTTGTCTAAAAGGGGCCACAACATTGTCATTGAATAGTCCCATCAGGGTTTGCAATGCTGTTGGGTGATTTTCATCCATAAAGGTTTGCACTTAAACCACTGTCCACTTTTCCTTTAAATTTTGAAGTAGGCACAATGGTTTCCCAAAACTGGCATAGGCTTTCGGGGGTTGCCCCAAACCTTAAAAAATCTTTCTTTTTTCCATACTAATTCTCCCCCTTTTTTACCACGGGGTTTGGCACTAGAGGCTTTTTTGGGGGGCCCAGGGTGATTTTTTTCAGAAAACAAACCCCAAAAAACCGGTGATAATATGGATAATAGGAAATGTACCGAATACCCTTAGATGGCGCACACTGGCTGGTTTGAAAAACACGGGCACACAGGGGAGTTCGGGCCACCTGGCAGGTCTCGTACGAACGTATTGAAACCGGGTTTTCAATCAAATAATGAGGAAAATTTTTCGATATAATGCACGAATACCGGATTTATCGAAAAACCCGTGCATCGAATCCGGGGGGTCCCCTGTATACTGTAGGTACCATTAATATTGTATGTTACCGTATTTAAACGTGCTCCTGTAATGTACTGCATTGTAAGTTATGCATGGAAGTATTGCATGTAGTATATTTAATTCGGAGTTAAGATACTCTGTGGAACTCTTAACTTTAAATATGTTCTTTTGACACACCAGCTGTCTCCCACTGATGTTGATGTTGATTTTGTTTAGTTTTTGCAGCTGCTTCATGACCAGAGAGCTTCGCAAGCGTCACACAATGGAGCTGGCACCAATTGCTAACTTACGAGAGACTGATGCTGAAGATGTTGGGTAAGATATATAATTTAAGTACTGAGCAGGATTTATCTTTGGTTAAAAAAAGGCACTTGAGCAAACACTAGGATATATTTATTAGAAAATGTTTTGATCCTGCTAGAAAAATCTGCTAGAAAAATGACAGGATGGATAATGAGAACCTTCAAAACTAGGGATGCCAAGCCCAGGTCACTTGTTCTATCTAGGCTGGAATATTGCTGCACACTAACAGCTCCTTTCAAGGCAGGTGAAATTGCTGACCTAGAAAATGTAGAGAATCTTCACAGCGCGCATAGCGGAGATAAAACACCTCGATTACTGGGAGCGCTTGAAGTTCCTGAACCTGTACTCCCTGGAATGCAGGCGGGATAGATACATAATTATATACACCTGGAAAATCCTAGAGGGACTAGTACTGAACTTGCACACGAATATCACTCACAACGAAAACAAAAGACTCGGCAGATGATGCAACATCCCCCCAATGAAAAGCAGGGGTGTCACTAGCACATTAAGAGACAATACAATAAGTGTCAGGGGCCCGAGACTGTTCAACTGCCTCCCAGCATATATAAGGGGGATTACCAATAGACCCCTGGCTGTCCTCAAGCAGGCACTGGACAAGCACCTAAAGTCAGTACCTGACCAGCCGGGCTGTGGCTCGTACGTTGGATTGCGTGCAGCCAGCAGTAACAGCCTGGTTGATCAGGCTCTGATCCACCAGGAGGCCTGGTCACAGACCGGGCCGCAGGGGCGTTGATCCCCGGAACTCTCTCCAGGTAAACTCCAGGTAGGACCTTTATCACTTGTAACTGAAATATTTTCTTATACATAAATATGTCCTAGTTTTTTCTCATGTATTTTTTTAAACCGGTTTGTCAGTATCAGTTGCCAAGGTTTATAGGGTAAACCTTTAATTGGTCACCTATTCATAACTTTCTTTTCAAAATTAAATTGCAAGTTACTTTCAGCAGTTTAACATTATTACCTTTTATTACTAAACTGTACCACAATCAAGCTAAAATACTGTATTGTTTATGAAAAGCAGAAAAAAATCACACCTGTTCAAGTAATATTGAAAGAATAGACTGTAATCTTGCTAGCTTTTCAGTTTCTTCAAATGGTATTCTGTTGAAATCATACTTAGGTTTCCACATACTTGCTACTGGATGTCTAATTGTTAGGCCATTCTAGGAGACCTGGTTAACCTGAAATGACTGAATTGTGGAGCAAACACCTGTGCTGCTACCACTCATGCTGTCTACCTGATTCTGTACTTTATACTTAATATTTTTTAAGAAGTCAGGCAAACACCATTCAAAACAGCTAGTTTTAAATTACAGCATAATTATTAATGAGCCTTTAATATTAAAAAATTGTGAAATATAGTAATTACTATATAAACAAAAATAAGAAACTATTTTTTTTACTGCATATTTAGATATTTCAGAGTAGTCTATAGTTTTTTGCATATTTTATGTACAATATGAATAATCATTTCAGGAATGGGAGTACCAATCATGCACACAAGCCAGGTTCTGGTAATGGAGGGGTTGATGATGGCTTTGACACAGTTCCAAGTAGGCCCCCAACAAATGATGTTCCACGAAGATCTCCATTCCCTCACTCTCCATCCCCAGGCCCACCAGGAAGGGGTGGCTATATACCTGTGGCCACAGACCCTCCAATCAGTGGCAGGCCTGTATGTATTTTACAGTAAAAATCATTCATGGTTCTCTTCATATTATTGATTCTATTTTCCATCAAAGGTTTTAACACACTCACTAGTACTGTACAGTTAGAAGATTGAGCCTTTATCACTGAGAGAGGCACAAGTGTCATGTATTTTATGATTTTGTTATAAGTAAATATAGCTTAGGGTATGGAGAACACTGTAAGCCTACATACATCACTCCAAGGTGGTGGTGTTTTTATTTAATAGGAAAAGACTTGAAGCCCAGACTGGTGCTTTCATATGTCTGGCTGGGCCCTCACCACTAACTTAGGGCATCAAGGAACAGAAAAAAAAAATTGCTCGAGGTTAAATATGATGCAAAGCTTAGGAGTTTGTTTATTAAACATGGCTAGACTGTAGTTTACAAAATATGGATCACAGGCTACAAACACATTCATAATTATCCCAAATATTCATGTAGAATTAATAACAAACCTACCTGTGCTCTTAAAAAAATTAAAAGCACTCCTTTCTTAAGATAAGAGATAAACAAGCAAGGTCACTCCACTTTGCTTAACTGTGAATGCCCACGAGTGAGTTGCTTGACAAGGAACACTGGGGTGGAGTGGTAATCTATACATACTGTCTCTTCCCCAGTGCATATTAACATTGGGATGATGAATTCTATTGCCAATTCTTACAATTAAGGAGTCCTAAATATTAATATAGTTAAAGTTTTGACTTCCAGCTGGAGTATTCACTAACACAGTGTACTGTATATGAAATACATTAATAATTGAGTTTCTGTGGTGTTATGAAAATATCAGATGCTAAGGTGGGACTAACACCTCAGTGGAGGTGCCTTGAGGCCAGTGAGGGGCTCCTGAAACAAGAAATTGAGCCTACCCATCTTTTCTTGGACTGCATATAATTGTCTCTTATTCCACATGAATATAATAATATTTTGATCTAGATAAGATAGTTCATCCCCTTACTGGAAACTGGTAATGGTGAAACTTTGTATATTAAGGAAATGAATACCTATTCAGGACTGTTTCTGCCTTTCCTAGAAGAAAAATGTTAATGAGTGTATGTAACAGTTGTAGATGTATCCCAGGCCCATGGCCTGGAATAATTTCAGCAAACTCTGTCAGCCAAATATTTTTGCCACTTATTAAAATTTTATTAATTCCATGTCTGAGCTTGAAATTATAATACATGATCAGCTGTGAGAGAAGTTAGATGATTCTAACACCTGTTTTCTGACGGGAAGCCGTGGATATTGAATATTTGAGCTAATAGCTATGTTTTGCTAAACAGAAAAAAAATACTGTGTACTATTTTAAAATGTGACAAGCAACTAAATGAATTTCAATATAAAATTACTTCCAAATAGGAGGAAACAGATCTTAAGCCAGTTTCTGGGTATATATTTAGACCATAAACTTAAATTCAATATTGTGCTCATGTCCAGAACATGCTGTATCACAGAAGATATAAAAATGCTATGCATTGCTTTCAGCATTCTCTACCAGAGTTAAAAAAATGAGTTACTGTACACGAAAAGGTTGAAAAACACTAAAAATGCCTTCATTGACTGACAGGAAAAGAGAAGATATAATAACAACATAGAGGATCATAACAGGATATGAGAAAGTGGAATGAGCTTTCTTAGCATCATCAACAGGATGAACAGAAAGCTGTAATTTTAAAATGAGGAAAAAACACTATTAAAAGAATGCTAGGGAGTGGTATAGTACATCACTAGAATGGGATCTGAAAGGTAATAAGCACTATAGCTACTGGAAAATAAAAATTTATATTAAATTTAACACCATTCCTGTAATAACAAATAGGTAGGTAACTACAGAAAAGTTTAGTAAGCATACTGAGTATTCACTGCATTGGGGAGTTTGAATAAAGATTTCCCAAGAATTTTAAAAAAAAATGTTGACTTAAGGTGTACTATATTACTGTACATATGTCAGGATGAGAAGCCTGCAGTTTATCATGGTCATCCTAGTGGAGGGTAAGGCAGTGTTCATGTGGTCACTTATTCAGTTACTGGCCACACACAGTACATAGTAGTAGTGCTTAATTGAACTGACCAAACAATGTACACATCATCACCACTGTCACATCAATGTCTAGGTGAAAAATAACATTTTATTTGGATTAAAACTATACTTCTTAACTTCTGGTTGAGACTGTACACAGTACAGTATTTGTTTCTCTTACAAATTTTGACTTTTTGTGTTATTTCATGACATAATAACTGGATAATTGAAACCAGTTTGCTATATTGCAATTAATGTGAGTTTAAAAATAAATTCATCTTTCAGGGGAAGAAACCACTTGATGTAAACTTATATGCAACTAAGAAAACTGTAGCCCAAGGCATGATGGATCTAGCACTCCTCACAGCTAATGCTAACCAGTTACGCTATGTTATTGAAGCTGGCAAATTTGGCAATCTTGGTCCTAATTACTACATCAGTATAACTTTCATCTCAATCAGCATTATCTTGCAGGTATGTATTAACTTTTATAATTCTTACATAAATAACAGATAAGTAGGTGACTAGTAACTCAGTGGAAGAACACTCAGCTTTCAATGTAGATTTGATTTCTAGATCTCATTGCACCTGCTACCCCTGATCATGTACTGGTTGTTAAACAGCTGTTGTGGGTCACATCCTGGAGGGTTGTAATATAGCTTGCATAGTGCTGGGCTCTGAAGTGAGATGAAGTAGAATAACAGCTTTTAGCTTGTAAATTTAACTGTGGAAAAAAAAAAAATAAAAAAAGTAGCACTGTATGTTTAAATAAGTAATGAAATTTAGCTGGGAAATAAAACTGTGTGCTGTGCCCTTCAAGGAGGGTACATTGATGCTGTAAAATGATCAAAAAGAATCAGAGTTATTATTTTCCTTGGATCCAATCCAGTTGTTTCCCATTTCCCAGGTACTGTATGACCTCCATGAGTTTAGCACTTTCCCATGAATGCAGTAATAAATAATACCAGTTATAATAATGTGCATAACAAAAATCTTGATTCAAGGTAAATGAGAGCTATTCCCTGGAATGAGAAAGCTTATTTTAACCTTACTCTGTTTTCAACTCCCTTCAAAGGATAGGTACCTTGATGCTGTGGAAAGACTATTGATCCAAGGACTTGGAAGCTCACTTTTCCTGTTCAAACCTGATTACCCCCTCATTCTCCCACTCCCCAGGTGCTTTGTGACCCTTGTGGGTGTAACACTTCCCCATGAATATAAATTATGATAATTCTCTGTAAACTACATTCCTGTATTGCACTTGGATATGAGAAGAAGCACCAAAATATAGCTGCAACAGCAGTGGTGTTAATAAGAGGTACAGTGCTCCATGAGTTTGCTTTCCTCATAATTTATAGAGGTGAGCTATTTCAAAATAATAAATAAGTTGCATAAATAAAAGTGAAGAAAAGTTTCCAGTCTTTCTCTGAAAGGAGAAAATACTAAAATGTATATTGCAGAGTTGTATTAGTACAGGCTGGCAAAATTAACAAAGAATTCATGTGTATGCATATCCATAAGGGCCTAAACTACAGTTAATGTGATGCTGTATTTAAAACATAATGCATTCTGTATTGCTGACATTTATTGTACATGCTCTGTTACCAGTATTTTTGTACGCTCATTGTTATACATGAGTTATACTGGTGCATGTTGTTAACAAACTGAGCATACATGTACAGTACTTTGTTAGTATTGTAAGGAATACAGGGGTTCTCCAGCTTATGAACTCTTAAATTATGAACATTGGCACTTATGAATGTGGTCCATTACAAATAATAAGTAGATTATTGATTATCTGAAGATTGGTTATTCTCCTTACATTATCAAGTGGTCTTGTTTGATCTGGCATATAAATATATATGTGAAAATGGAATGTGCAAACCAGAGACCATAAGAAAATAGTGTGATAATCTTATGTTGGGAAAAATCCAGTGCACCCTTTTCCCTGAAGGGGCCAAATAATGGATTATCTACTATACAGTATTTGATTTTTTTTGTTTTTTTTTTATGAATGACAGCCTTGGTTATGATTATATGTGTGACACCCATCATTTGTAATTATATTTTCTATGGGACGAGCTTTTACAAAGGGGTGTTAATGTTGCAGTTTAAAAACTGTAGTGTAAAGCACCCTTCTGGCAAGACAGTGATGGAGTGAATGATGGTGAAAGTTTTTCTTTTTCGGGCCACCCTGCCTTGGTGGGAATCGGCCAGTGTGATAATAAAAAAAAAAAATAATAATAATAATTCCCCAAGTTGGAAAACCAGGAATACAACTTGTTCATTAGTTGGGATCCCCTGTATCTAGTATTATTTGAAGATAAAAATTATAAATGTTATTTTCATGGTTGCAGCTGGTGATCGGTGTGGCTTTGATCATCATGGGGCGGTACAACGTGTCACATGACAGCCATGCTCAGAAAGCTGATACCCTCAATAACTGGATAGTTCTTGGTGTATTTCTCATTACTGTAATCAATGTTTTCATTTCATCATTTGCTATTGAACCCATGGAAGGCTATGATCCTGTCCTTTTGAGAGCTGCATTGACGGAGTCACCCTCTGAAAAGTTGATTAGTAATTAAGCCTCAGATAAGGGAGAATTGGTTGAATTTTCTCATATATTAAGCTAATCTGTGTACTTTATATCATTTTTATTAACAATGCTATTATGTACATTAATGAGAACACTGAACTTTATTTCAGTTAAAACTAATTTAGTACTGTGCACAAAAAGTTTATTACTGTACATTATGGTATTGTACTGCTCATTATTTCTAAGTGATAAATATCCCACTATATCATATCTATTTCTATATAAAATTTATTGCTGATTTTCTTACTAATGATATATTTTTTATACAGATTTTTAAAAAGTATTTTATTATTTTTTAAATAGGGGCATGTAGCTCATAACACAGTGCTAAGACAATAGTTTTATAAATTTCTTATGACTTTTTTATATTTGAGCACATTTTTATTTAGTTTATGCTTAGCTCATTTTTTCAGATACACTGCATGAAACATAATAATATATTTGTCATATTAATTGCTCTCTTATTAACTAGAGAAGACACAGTGATATTAAAACATGCTAACCACTGCATTAAAAACAGGATAAAAAAAAAAAGACATAAATACTCTAGATTTAAATCCTTATTTGTACTATATTATTGGATCCTCAGAATCCTGAATTGAACGATTAAGGTTAAAGGTTGATCGTTCTGTTAGTACCCATGTTTGAGAATCAAATAGAGTTAATTGGGGTGTGAGAACCCTCCACAGTTCAGCTGAGACTTCAATGCAGAATAATTGCTGGAATCAAGTCAAGGTTTGGAAGGTAAAGGGGGTAAAGGAGGTTTTGTGGGTAAGGGGCTTGGACTTCCAGCAAGCGTGCGTGAGCGTGTTAGATAGGAGTGAATGGAGACGAATGGTACTTGGGACCTGACGATCTGTTGGAGTGTGAGCAGGGTAATATTTAGTGAAGGGATTCAGGGAAACCGGTTATTTTCACATAATCGGACTTGAGTCCTGGAAATGGGAAGTACAATGCCTGCACTTTAAAGGAGGGGTTTGGGATATTGGCAGTTTGGAGGGATATGTTGTGTATCTTTATATATGTATGCTTCTAGACTGTTGTATTCTGAGCACCTCTGCAAAAACAATGATAATGTGCGAGTGTGGTGAAAGTGTTGAATGATGATGAAAGTATTTTCTTTTTGGGGATTTTCTTTCTTTTTTGGGTCACCCTGCCTCGGTGGGAGACGGCCGACTTGTTGAAAAAAAAAAAAAAAATGCAAGTACTAAAAATTCCAGTTCTTACTTGTATGTCATTGTGAAATTCAGTCATAAAGAGAAGGAAGAGATTGGACCTGCTGTGAGTGATCACCTGTCAGGTAGATTTTTGGTTAAAAAAAAAAATAGTGGATGTGGGTGTGATAATTCTCCACAACCGAGCTGGAACTTAGTGAATCATTAATTCTGATTCTGTTTAACCCAAGCGTGGTGCAGAAAATGGGGAAATTTTGTAGATTAGGCTCCAGTTTTCAGTACCTGCTTATGTGAATTAATAATGGTTTCTTTAAAATAACAAAACGTTTGTTTTTAGCTCTTAACTCATGGTTGAATTCAGTTCTGTTTGGTAAAACATAAGCTGACAAAAAAAAAGTACCTCACAGTCAAATACGTATATACTGTAATATATATTCTATTTCACTTTAAGAATATGAAAACAAGTTTGATACATTGGATAAACTGAGCAGTCTGTAGGACTTTGACTCAGATAGCATAAATATTCCCTCCATTGAGCACAGGAACTGAGTGCCTTATTTTAGCATCTGCAGGCTATGTAGTAAATCCAGTGCACTGAGTACATGCCAAGTAGATATAACAGGGATATGGCTAATGCAACATTCTTGAATCAAATATAATATAACATGAAGTTCAGAATATTGTGAATCTTAGCAAAGGGTTACATGTTTCAGCCAGACACTTTTGTAGTTCAGAATTATGTCCACAATTTGAAAGCTATCATGTTTTTTATCTACAACAGTGTGTGCCCTTCATATGAATATTGTATTGAAAAAAGGGATCTGACCCCCTCTCCAATTTTTATTGTATGGTTTAGGTAAATAAGTAGTGGAAAAAGACACAAAATGCAGTCAATTGGAACATGTGTTTTTGGAAATGTTTTGGAAAGGTTACTCTAAATGAGCAACCAAGGTACTAGGCCCAGAAAGTTTCCAATAAACAAGTAGTAATAATGTTTGCAAACTTTTCTGAACCTTTGTCAAAACTTTAGAGTGTAACACATGCATGAGCATTGTTTATAATTTGATGTCAGTACAAAAATAAAATTTATAATGTATTTGTGATGTACTTTTGTGTTACCATTATTTGAAATGAAATGATGGTGAATTAGGAACACTATTGCATACCTTAGAACAGGTAACCCTTGTCAGATAAACTTGAGGTTAATGAGAAAATAAAAGAGATAAAACAGGAAAGAAATATGCAAATTTGTATGGGAAATATTAGTTTTAAACTAATAGCGAAGGGCTGTATAACCCATTTAGGTTTAGTACTTTGCTTTGTAAACATAATTCACTTAGTGTGTAATTCAGGCAAAAGAATAAAAAATAATAAACGTCATAATTCCATAGGTGAAATGATTCACAGATGACTCATCTTGGACCATCATCAAGTTTGTTGATGATGGTCAAATATGTTGTCAAGTTTCCTCATTAGCTTGTGGGTTTGTTGTGAACAATATTGTATTATAATAATATAATAATAATATGTTTATTTTTACAAGTACAAGGTATACAGGCCTAGTTGACATCAATGAGATATTATATAGAAAGCTGCTTGTTATGCAGAGCATTTTGGGCATATTTGGTCAGTTTTGTCCCAGGATGTACTTCCATGGGTAAACAGGGTCTGTATTTTATAAAATGACAAACTTTTTTTTTTTTTTTTTTAATGTACATCTTGTTTGTAAACAAAGATCTGAATTTAATTTTCATTATATATGTATGTGCTTTATTTACCAGTATACAATATTGTATTTAATTTTTATTAAAAAGAATGCTTACTTTTCAAAAGTCATCAGAGGATTTATATATATCTTTAATGGGTAAAGTTTGCCATTTACCTCATCACATATGCATTCATTGCATTTAAGCTAAAACAAGAGTAATGTAAATCTCTGAAATTTCACCTCTGGGTTTCCATTTGTTTACAAAAAAAAAAAAAATGAAAAAAATTGAAAAATCTGAAATTTCTGCTTAAAATACTAGGGGCAAAATTGAAAGTTCAATCTCATCATTGCTAGCATCTGCAGTGTATGTGATAGCTCTTATTTGAACATTCTGAGACATAGTACATGTTGGTGTACATATTACACCAACATGTAGTATGCAAAAATAATTTATTTGAATAATTATACATTAATTTGAAACTACATGTACATAACTCATACAAACGGTGCCTACATGTATATTTTCTTAAAATGTTCCTCTAATTGTTTTTTAAACAATTAATGTGGTGCCTTTCAATTGTATTTGTGTATTATTATTATATCTTTAGGTATTTTAACACAACTACAAGAAAAATTTATTCTTTAATATTTAAAGAATTAATGAACATTCTTAATTTTATTTTTAAACATATATATTGAACTACTACTTTGTGATATTTGGTTGGTTTTTATTGAATGGTGTGCTTGTGTTTTAAGGTGCTTTAGAATTAGAATTAGATCATCTTTTATGTAGTTAATGGGCATCATTAATTTATTATGCAGACTCTGATGTAGTGTTTATTTAATGTTAAAAATATGTATGTTTAGCAATCTGCTTAGGTATTTTATTTGTTAGCCATGTTTGTGCTGTTTTTAATATATAAATACAGTATATAAGTATCAAGGATATTATGTTACAGTTGTTACTTTGATAAATGATATTATTTTCTGTCTAAAATTAAAAAGTTTAATATTTTCTTTTCTTTAGTGTCCTTATTTCAGCTGCCTTCATCTTCAGTTCTGTGGCTACCATTTAGCTCACTGTCGGTGGTCGCTTATATCTCTCTGTTAGCAATAGGATCAATTGGTTAATGGTTAAGACTTCCCTGGTTGGATTCAGTGGTGGGCGAGGAGATAGAGAGCTAACACCATGGATAATAATCTCCCTACACACACTGTTGACGATCCCTGTACACCCACAGACTCTCAGAACCTGGTATCATTTTCAGACCATCCTTTGTTGCCTGGTAAGGTACTGGTATTCACCCTGAAACCTTTGATACTTTTGACCTTTGCTCTACTTTGAGCCCAGCTTTTTGCACGATGCATCACTGATTTTCAAATTACTTTTACATGACAGGAAAGAATGGCTGGAAAGTGTGGTCCAAATGACATAGACACATTCTGGATGACTAGATGATCCTAACGTTATACCTGGCACACCTCACTCTTATTTTAAAGGACCCTTTCAGGTTTAATGTAATTATATATTTTTTTATTATTATCCCCTCAAAGACGTATTTCAAAGACAATCTTGAGCAAAATTCTTTTCTCCCCAACCTTACCGACCAGGGCATTGGCAAAGCACTCCTGAGACGTTAGTCAAACTACGTCCTTTCATGACCTTAAGTGTGGGATGCATATTGTTACTGTACAAGTTGTTGAACAGGCTGGTCTTGATTTTTTATTTAGCTGCTGCTCTATCGATGGCATCCCTATCACAGTACATAAACAATAATAATAATAATGTTCATTTCCTTGAGCTATACAAAAAAAGTAGTTAAAGGTATTAGTTCAGTAGTGGGCACAAAAGGAAGCCACTAATTATGTAATGCATTTCAGGCAACTAATCACAAGGCTTACATCACCAAAGGAAAACTTCAATCTTCCCTGCTCAAGGTTGGAGACATTTGAGCAGTGTATCTAAATTGACTTTTGATTGCCAAGACCTGTCCTTGGTTTATAAAGCAGAAGAGCTCTTTCAAGTATATTGAACATTAGGCAACACACTCACCTTACACACGAGTAATCGTGGTTCAATCCCCAGCTGAATAGAAGCATTCGACATGTTTCCTTACATCTGTTGTCTCTGTTCACCTAGCAGTAAGTACCTGGGCATTAGGCGACTGGTGTGGGTCACATCCTGGGGGACAAGATTGAAGAACCCCAATGGAAATAAGACAGACAATGCTTGATGATGCACTGACTTTCTTGGGTTATCCTGGTTGGCTAACCCTTTCAGGTTAAAAATTGGAACAAATCTTAATGAACTTTGGCCACCCGGCCAAATATTGCATGTCACCGGCATTCTGCTGGTGATATAACTACATATAACTAATGAAAATCCCATAATATGCATAGCATTTGGGTAACTTAACTAGAGCAAAACTACTCTACAATATACATCACTTCATACTTTAAAAAAAAAAATATAGTAGTTTATATGAAAAGTCTGAGCCAAGGATCTTGGTAAGTGACCCAGGGAAAGGAACCATGGAAGTCAGGTAAGTGACCCAGGGAAAGGAACCATGGAAGTCAAGTAAGTGACCCAAGGAAAGGAACTATGGAAGTCAGGTAAGTGACCAAGGAAAGGAACTATGGAAGTGGTTTAAAGCTGAAAGCACAGAATCCAAGAATCAAAAAAGTTCAAGGATCAAAGGTTCTAAGGAAGGGATCCAAGGAGAGGGCTCAAAGAAAAAGATCCATGGCTTGATGGAAAGAATCCAAGGCTCGAAGGAAGGGATCCAAAGCCTGAAGGGATTCAGAGCTTGAAGGGATTCAAAGCTCAATGGAAGGGATACAAGAATCCATGGAAGGGATTTAAGGATGACAGCAAAGAATCCAAAGGATCAATGATATAATTCAAAACTCAAAGGAAGGAATCCAAAGCACCACAGAAGGAATCCAATGATCAAAGGAATGGACCCAAAAGACAGGTCCAAAGTTCCATTGAAGGGATCCAGGGATCAGAGGCAGGGATCAAATAAAAAGATCCGAACTCAAAGAAAGGGATCAAAGTAAGGCATACCTGGAGGGGGTTTCTGGGGTTAATGCCCCTGTGGCCCAGTCCATAACCAGCCCTCATGGTGGATCAAGACCTGATCAACCAGGCTGTTACTGCTGGCTGCACATAAAACAAAATACAAACCACAGTGAGGCTGGCCAGATACTGACTTTAGGTGTCTGTCTAGCTCCCTCTTGAAGGGAGCCAAGGGTCTATTGTTAATCCCCCTATGTATGCTGGGAGGCAGTTGAATAGTCTTGTGTTCCTGACGCACTGTGTTGTTTCTTAGCGTACTCGTGGCTTCCCCGCTTTTCATTGAGGGGATGTTGCATCTACCATGGCTATTGCTTTCATATGGGGTGATCTTCGTGTGCAAATTTGGGACTAGTCCCTCTAGGATTTTCCAAGTGTATATTATTATGTATCTTTCTCGCCTGTGTTCCAGGGAGTACAAATCAAGGGGTTTCAACCGTTTCCAGTGGTTTAGGTACTTTGTGCCTATACGTGCCATGAAAGTTCTCTGCATATTCTCAAGGTCTGCAGTTTAGCTTGCCTTGAAAAGGGCCGTTAGTGTACAGCAATATTCCAACCTAGAGAGAAGCGATTTAAAGAGTAATGTATCCAAGAATTAAAGTATCCAGGAATCAAAGTAAGTTATCTAAAGGAATGTAATCAACGAACAAAGGAATACATTTAATTAATGATCCGAGGATCAAAGGTAGGATCCTAGGAAGTAATCCTGCTCTACAACCTTTAGGATTTAACGCTTAAATTGATTGATAATAAGTAATCAAAGGGAAAGATAGCTTCAGATCTCCGGATCAAGATCCCTTAGCCGCAGACGTAAAGTAAGCAGTACGAGAGTGTGGGCAGTGCCTGGTGGCACTTGAGTCGTGCGTGTGGCAGCGAGGCGGGCTGGGAGTGGCACTACTATGGCACAAGTCAGTCTTATCTTCTTATTTACCTTTATATTAATGTTTTAACTACTCCTAGTGCTATATAAAGTATTGTTGGATGTGTTTCAGTGTTGTTACAACATAATACTGTTCATTATAACTCAAGATTTTTGTATTAAAACAATATTAAGTTTGAGCTTATCAGGCGAGCAACAAAAGTTGCATTTAACATCAGTAAATATATTTATATATATATAAATATATATATAGTATTTCGCATTCCTTAACTCTATGTACTTGTTATTTAATATTAATATTATTGGTCATAAAAAAGTTTTATTTATTGTATTATAATTACTTCCTAGAGGAATACGGAGCTAGTTAGTATAACTAGATAATACTAAATGAATAACAAATTATATATTATAATTGTTTATGAGGTGTATAAATGATTGCATTATAATAATGACAATGTAATAAATGAGTCAGTGTGAAAGTTACATATATAAATATGATATTTATATTTTGTGCTCGTAGTGTAGTAATTATTGATCAGGAGAGTGATAAGAACAGCAGCAGCTCCATCTTAACTACCCTCAACCAACACTATGGTACGTCTAGTAACTTACTAACCTTATTTAAGTACAATTATCTTATCTTGCCATACATAGTAACATGTAAATTACCCTCCAGGATAACACCTCCCTCAAAAAAAGTGACATTTCCATTGTGGTCCTTGTAATATTTTATTATTTAGAGTCTCGCTGTAAGATACAGAACAAATCAGTCTTGATTATAACTTTAAAAATTAAAACAGCGAAGTAACTCAACTGTGAAAATCACCAAGAGTTTAACGAGTTGCTGCCATCACTGGTAAGTTTGGTAAGTCAAGTTTAGACACATAAGTACCATTATCATATAGTGTAAATTACTTAGGATAACTGAGGTCCTTGAATTTCCGTTGGAATCCTTAAATTTCCATCGAGGTCCTTGAATTTCCGTTGGAATCCTTAAATTTCCATTGAGGTCCTTGAATTTCTGTTGGAATCCTTAAATTTCCATTGAGGTCCTTGAATTTCTATTGGGGTCCTTGAATTTCTATTGGGGTCCTTGAGTTTTCATTGGGGTCCTTGAATTTTCATTGGGGTCCTTTAATTTCCTTTGGGGTCTTTCAAATTTAATTGGGGTCCTTGAATTTCCATTGGGATCCTTGAATTTCCATTGAGGTCCTTGAATTTCCATTGAGATCCTTGAATTTCCATTGAGGTCCTTGAATTTCCATTGAGGTCCTTGAATTTCCATTGTGGTCCTTGAATTTCCATTGAGGTCCTTGAATTTTCATCGGAGTCATTTAATTTTCACAAACCTTCCATCATTATGTTTATCAATAAGAATATTGTTAATCATAATGTTTAGTTGGACATCACTTCCTCTGCTCCCAAACGTTATATAGAAGGTTTTGCCACTGTTAAGTGTAAGTTTATTAATAGCCATCCAGTTTGACATTTTTACAAGCTCTTTATTAACAGTAGTGTTGAGTGAAGCAAGATTAGGGTGGGAAATGACAAAAGTTGAATTTTATTGGAGTTCTTGAATTTCCAGTTTACCTCTATAAAATAAATATATAGATCTTTAAGATTAAGTTTTGCCCGAAATGCAGAGCATTGTATGATCCATCAGACTGTTGTATGTATTTTGTTTGCAGTAATTTTGAAATAAAAGACTTGAACTTGGAGGGCTCCTCATCCACAGAATTAGTGATATCCTCTACATCTTTGGATCAAACTTCACTTCCAGTTCTCAATTTCCCTAGCTCAATGACTACTATGGGTTCAGTGCTTCCTCATAAATTAAGTTAGGTCACTGTTTGCTTTACTACCGGGCGTCTTTTTATCGTGTAAGTTCTCCAGCATTAATTGCACTTTCCACTAGAGATGGATACTGTATATTTACTGCCTATAAGAAAAACCTTTTTGTTTATGTATCCTAAGCTAACTGACAATTTTATAGCAAGTCTCTGTTAGGTTAGATTAAATTAGGCTTGTTTGGCTCGAGTTAAGTTTATTTAGGCACAGG